CCTACATCCACTTGCGAAGCCTTCTTCAATGAGGCTCCCAACTTCTACTAGCAAATCACTTTGAAGGGGAAGGACAAATACCCCTCTTACAACCTTTTACAAGTGGTTCATACTCTTACAAATTTTCAAAGAGAAAGAGGGAGATGAACACTCAAGCTATTGAAAACAAAACTTACTAAAGACTTTGCTAAGGCTTTTATCTTAATCTCTTGCTTCTTAAAAGTTGTTATCTCTGTTAAGAATTGAGGGGTATTTATAGGCCCCAAGAGGGCTCCAAATTTGAATTACTTTTGGGTTCCCGGTGCTGGCGATGCCACCGTCTATCAGTGTCTGACACTGACAGTGTACTAACGGTGCCACCGTCGGACCTCTCGGGTGCTGGGCAGTGCCACCGCCCAATCTAGCAGTTTGCTGGTAGTACCACCACCGAAACTCTCGGGTTCTGGGCGGTGCCACCACCCAATCTGGTGGTGCCACCGCCTAGATTATTTTATCTCACTGGTTGGGCTCCAAACTTGGCCCAAACCAGTCCAAACTTGGGCCCAATTAGCCCCTAACTGGGTTATAGTATTAACCCTTAATTCTAACCATAATTACATACAAACTACGAAATTAAGACATAGTTCTAAGCAAGTTTTTATCCAGTAATGTCGAATTTCCTTCTAGCGAGCTTTTCGGCGAACTTCCGACGGACTTCCGATACACCCTCGGATTTCTTCCAACGGACTCCCAGTAGGCTCCCGATCTTGTGGTGAGTTCAGCGAGTCTTTGGTAAGTAGCCAAATCTTCTCGGTGATCTCCACGAACCTCCGATGATCTCTCCGGCGGACTTCCAAAAACTTTGGCAAGTCCCCGATTTCTTCTCGGTTGGTTCCAACAACACTTCCGACGAATCTTCGGACTCTCGGCGAACTCTCGAACACCTATCAAACTTGACTCCAGTAGACTTGCTTTATATCTTCATGCTATCGTAATTAATCCTACATACTTAACTCAATAATATGGATTAGATCAATTAACCCATCAATTGATTTCATCATCAAAATCTGAGATTCAACAATCTCCCCCTTTTTGATGATGGCAATCAATTGATGATAGAGTTAAACATAACTCCCCCTATCTACATGCCATATAATGAGAAAATAAAAACTCTTGAATTCAATTTCTTTGAATTTAAGCCTAAACCGATAAGTTCTATCCGTTGAACTTATCGTTATTTTCTATAAGCATGAGCAAATATGAAACTTCATATTTCTCATAATTTCAAGCTATGAAAATTATTTTCAAGTCGAATGATAAAAGACAATTATCATTTCGACAAGAGATATGAACTTTTAACATAAATCTCATGATATCAATGTAAGGCATGATTTCATATGATCATGAGATGAAACGACAACCAATCTAAAAACTTTCATATTGCGATATTTTCAAAAAGTTTTACAATGTATATAAGACATTTTTGCGATGCATATAAGATATTTACATTACACAACATATTAGCTTTTGCAATTCATATAAGTCATGCTATCACATTTGCGATGCATATAAGACATTTGCATTACACAAGCTTTTGCAATTCATATAAGTCATGCTATCACATTTGTGATACATATAAGACATTTGCATTACATAAGATTTTATAATTTATATAAGTCATGCTATCGATGCTTATAAGACATTTGTATTACATAAGCTTTTGCAATTCATATAAGTCATGCCATCGATGCATATAAGACATTTGCATTACACAACATATTAGCTTTTGCAATTCATATTTTGCACAAGTCATCAATCTTTTGCATATTCTTCTCCTCCTTTGTCATCAACAAAAAGGAGATGAGGTTTTAAGCATAAAACTCATGATCATTGAAGCCATTCATAAAATCATCTCATAAGAAAAAAATCTTGAAAAGGAGATGGCAAAATTGACAAAGCTTCAACTTGGCATTAATATTGATCATTCAAGGAAGACATCAAATCATCCGAAATAACATGAAGGAGCCATCAAAATGTTGATAAAATTTCGAAAAGAAACATCCAACATCATATTCTAGAATAATGTCAAACGCATGTGAAGGTAGCATAGAGGTTTACAATAATAAGAAAGAAGTCAAATCCACGAAAGCCGAAAAGAGGATGAATTTTTTTTGAAAAATATATACAATCAAGCTCATTCACAAGAACAATTCAACATGCCTAATTCCCTTCTAATAAAGTTAAATTGATCTTCATTTAAGGCTTTTATGAAAATATTTGCTAATTGATACTTTGTATAAATAAATTCTAGAATGACATTATTATTATTGACATAATCTCGTATAAAGTGATGCCTAATATCAATATACTTAGTTCTAGAGTGTTGAATTGGATTTTTGGTTAGACAAATAGAACTTGTATTATCACATTTTATGGGAATGTTCTTTAAGTAAATTCCAGTCTTCCAATGTATTTTTCATCCAAACAACTTGTGTACAGCATGCACTTGTAGCTATGTATTCGGCTTCCACCATAGATAGTGCAACTAAATTTTGTTTCTTGAAAATCCAAGAAACAAGTGCATGTTCTAAAAATTGACATGTTACGGATGTGCTTTTTTTATCTATTCTACATCCGCCAAAATCGGCATCTGCATAAGCTATTAAATCAAAATTATCAGATTTTGGATACCATAATCCTAAATTAGGAGTTCCTTTAAGATATTTAATGATTCTTTTAACACTTTTAAGATGAGACAATTTAGGATTAGCTTGAAACGTAGCACAAAGTCCTACACTAAACATGATATCCGGTCTAGTTGTAGTGAGGTAAAGTAAACTACCAATCATTCCCATACATGTTTTTTGATCAAAGCTTTCACCACTTTCATGTCTAACTTAGTGGAAGTACTCATAGGAGTGTTTATAGCTTTTGAACCATCCATGTTAAATCGTTTTAACAATTCACTTCATCTCTATTTAGCCCGTCCATGAGATATGCCCCTATGTTGAGATCCTTCACAATAAATAGAGTAAGAATTCAATTAAAATATTATTAAAAGAACATAATTTAGAGATAGATATTAGGTTCTTCATATTAGGAATATAAAGAACATTAGAGAGTAAAAAGGATTTTGAGAAAGATGGAAGGTTTATAGAACCAATGAGTTATTTTAAGACCTTTATCATCACCTATCATGATATTATCTGAACCATCATAATTTGAATGAAGAGATAGATTATTCAAGTCAAACATGACATGATAAGAAGCTTTAGAATCAACTAATTTGATGAAGGTTGAAAGGATTAAGCAATAAAGTGAGCACATGATAGTAGTAATAAGAATCAAGCAAGAGTAAAACATCCGTGGAATAGCAACTTACAAGCGATAACATTCTTACTAGCATGGCCTTCTATGTCATATATTTGATAGGTGATTTTGTTATTGAATTGTTGCTCGAATTTATTGACTCTTTTTTTATGGCATTGTTGCAAGTTGCTTCTAGAATGATTGTTTGGATGATCATGGATCTTGCCTTTATTGTTAAAATTAGCCTTGTCAAAATTGGTAGTGAAAGAAGTAGTATCACAAGATTGTGACTCTCACATAAGATAAGCTTTATAGTTAGAAAGCCTATCATGAAGTTCTTCAAAAGATATAGAACTATCACGAGCATATATCGTAGCCGAGATCTTCTTATAATCTGAACAAAGACCATTTAATATATAAAAAATAATCTCTTCATCATTAAGAGATGTATCAACTATAATAAGTGCATATGCTTGAGTTTTGATAGCCTACATATAGTCAGAAATAGATTTTGTACCCATAGAAAGCTTGAAGAAAGTTTCTCAAAGTTGCATGAGGCAACCACGAGATTGGTCCGCAAATATTATTGCAAGGGTAGACCACATCTCATGAGAGGATTTTGTAGAGGGTATGTAGGGAATGATTTGAGAAGAGAGAGAAGTAATTATAGCACTTTTAAGAAGAAGATCTTGAGAGATCCAAACAAGTGTATTTATGATTAACAACTTCGAGATTATTTTCTCTGATCATTTATGAAGGACAAACGATGGCTCCATCTATATAACTTATGAGATCATAACCGATTAAAAGATAATAAAATTGAGTATACCAAGAGATATACTTTGTGGGCATGAGTTTTTTAAAGGAGCTTTAACTATAACATTAATGGAGATAAGAGTATTTTGAAGAGTAAAGGAGTTAGAATAAAATCAGATAACTAGCTTGTTGAAGATGTATTATCGGTCATATCAAAAAGTAAAGAAAAAAAAAAACGAAGCAACTTATAAGAAAGATAAGCTTGTTTGAGCATAAAACCAAATAGAAATTATAATGCTAGTTTGAACGATAATCGAAAAGAAGATACAAAACAATAATAGCAAGAGAGAGGATCAAAGGAAAAAAAAAAAAAGTTCATTGGAGCAAATATTGCTGTGATATCATGAAAGAAATGACTAGCTTGAATTTTTATTGATAATATATATGAGTTTATATATACAAAGAGAGATTACAAAATATGATAATTATATAATTTTCTCAATCAATAGTAAATATAAAATATTTATCTAAATTATTTCATAATATAGGAGATTATGTTGATAGAATTATGATAATATGTTTCATAATTTTTATAATTTAAAATTATTATAATATATTATCAAAATATATAAAATATTAATAATTTATTTTCCTCAATAACATTCGTGCTAATAATAATTTTCGTGTTCTAAAGCTACCTGAGTCAGGTAGCAGACGAACTCCACCGATGGACATGCACTGTTCGAGCCTACTTCGCTTGTAAAAAGACCACAATACTGTTGCAGGTTTCAGACTTCTCCCAAGACGAGTGCAGAAAAGCGACATAAAAGCAATAGTAGATGGAAGGACGGCGCAAAAGGGTAGCGATGGCGCTGCCGCTGTGGAATCCCAACCATGTCCTCCATTTAAACTCACTCGAGATACCTAGAAGAAAATGACAGAAGGAAGCAGGTAGAGATAACAGTGGTAGAGGAAGCGTCTCCCTCGTCTCCTCTTCCTCCTCGTTCTATTAGAGTGACGAAGAAAAGGAGAACAAAGATGGCTCTTTTGCCTCTCTTTGACCCTCTGTGTTGCCAAGAAGAGAGCTTGGAGCTGGAAGAAGAACGGACAGGACCATTGTCGCCCGTCCACCTCCTCGAGGACTGGGCGGCGGTGGCCGAGGAGGAGTGGGTGGAGGCGCTTTGCTCCTTGGCGACCAGAGAAGGGGAGACCCGGCTGCCTGACGGCCGCGGGGAACACACGTACCTGCTGTCGGCAAGGATGGAGGCGGTGGAGTGGGTGGCTCGCGCCTCGGAGCGCCACTTGTTCTCCGCCCTCACGGCGCTGCTTGCCGTCGACTACCTGGACCGGTGCTTCCTCACCTCTTCCGTAGCTGGCGGGCTCCGGCTTCAGCAGGACAAGCCGTGGATGGGGCGGCTGGCGGCTGTGGCCTGCCTGTCTCTGGCAGCGAAGGTGGAGGAGACCCGCGTTCCCCTGCTCCTTGACCTGCAGCTGTCGTTAGCCGCGGCGACCGCGACGGAGCCGGAGGACAACAAGTTCGTGTTCGAGGCCAAGACCATCCGGCTGATGGAGCGACTCGTGCTCTCTTCCCTTGGGTGGCGGATGAACCCCGTCACGCCGCTCTCGTTCATCCACCACCTCCTTCCTCGACTCTGTCCCTGTTCCAAAGACAAGAACGCGATCTCCACCACAACCGCCGCCGCCCGTGTCCGAGATCTGGTTAACGGGTGCGAAGCTATTCTCCTCTGCGTCATAGCCGGTGAGTGCTCGGCCAAACGTCTCCTACTCCTCAAACACTGTTCGTTTTGTCAATCTCACATCATCATCGGATCTGTTCGTGGAAGATCGGAGATGGATCCGCTATCCTGCATCCATTTGGGCCGCGGCGGCGCTGTCCGCCGCTTCGCTGGAGTCCCACGAGACCCACCACCTCATCTCTTTCCTCAACGTTCCAAAGGTTGGATTCTTCTCCCATGTCTGGTTCCCCATTAACTGCTCCGTTGTCATCATCTGCTCACCGATGGAAGTAATCCATCTGCAGGACAAAGTGGACGAATGCTATCAGCTCATCATGGAACGAGGAATCCATGGCGGTAAGCGAAAGCATTCCTCTGCCTCCTCGTACTACGCCTACAGTTCACCAGCAAGTCCAAGCGAGAGTTCGTCGAGCGGCGGCGATTGCTGGTCAAGGTGGCCAACCTCGGGCTCACCTTCGCCGGAGATTCGCCCTCTCAAAAGGCCAAACTGCAGCAGCGGCGGCAAGACCTTCGGAGACAATGAACTCTGCTCCTGTTCCAATGTAAATAGATTATGATCCGGCACTCGTACTAACTACTGCACTCCATCTCTGTTCTCCTTATAATCGGCACTGTTCTTTCCTCGTTGTTGTGAGGAATGCTCGTCTTCATCAAGTCATTCTCTTATCACTTAAGCTCATCGACTCATAAAACGATCCGAAGGATGCGCGCAAATCCTCTCTCCATGTTATGCTTGCCTCTGGCTTTTCTTCTTAATGCTTGTTCCGAGGCATTTAACCCCTCTCTCTCTCTCT